ATCTTATATTTGCTCATTTTCGTTGAAGGAAAATTATTTAAAAAAGAAACATGATTAAGAGATGTCAACAGTAACAGTCATTACAGTGAAAAGAAAACAATGGAGTGAACTTCAGTTGGATACTGAGAGTTGCCAAAGACTCTCAGCCAAATCTCTGCTTTCTTGTTAAAATAGGAAAGTTAGCAGGTGTTGAAAATTTATTAATGGCATCATGTCATTCAACAGAGAGTTTATTAAGAATCATTGGAATACGACTTTGCATTGTAGGTTTGGTGATTTAGTTTGGAAGTGCTATAGTAAAATTGTGGACTCCTCATCTAGTTTTCTTCTTCTTAATATTACTTTTATTACCTTATTATATTTCATCCTTTGTTATACTCTCAAGCATCCTAATGAAGAATTAATGCATTACTCATGAATATCACAATATCAAATATTGTGATAGACCTCTATCTTGTAGAACTTAATTAACCCCAGTGATATTAGGAAACTATTTTCATCTATGAAATGAGTGCCAAATTGTGTGTATGAAACATGGAAGGCCAAGGTCACCAATGTTGTGTTGTCTCCAGGACAGTGGGTTGTCCTGTCATCAGAGCTCCCTGGTGTCTCCCTGGGACTGAGTCCTTCAGGTTAGGAAATGACTTGCCTACTCTCCTGTTATGATGATAAGATACCCTGATCAAAGCTATTTAAGGGAGAGAGGAAGTGTTCATTTGGGCTTATAGCTTCAGAGTTTACTCCATTGTGTCAAGGGGGGCAGAGGCAGGGACTTGAGGCCAGTTGTCACATTGCACCTGCAGTAGAGGAGCAGAGCACGAGGACTGTGACTGCTCTCCTCTCTCTCTCTCCTTATCCAGCCCAGGGAAAAGCTCTGCCCAGTGAGGTGGGTTTTCCCACCTCAATTAACCGAATAAAGATGATCACAGTCCTTCATAGGCATGCCCAGAGCTTCTCTTTTGTGATCTGAGATCCTGTCCAATTGGCATTGTTAACTGTCATATTGGGAGGCTGAAAGTAACTGAGGAACAATTGGGACTTCTTTAAACTATGAAACATTGGGTGTCTGCTGGGTAATGAATGTGTCTTTGGCTGAGTTTAGTCCAGGGCTCCTTTTCATTGTGATAGTGACCCAGTTGTAATTCTGTGAGGAATGAACTATAAGTCTATACGTGACTCACCTGGTGCCTGGTAAAGGACCAAGACTTTAGGATGACTTTATTCCTGTTGGATACAATATATTTAACTTTAGTCTGTTACCAAGCAACATATCTTGAATTTGGGGGAAATATGGGCCTAAGGAAAGCTATAATTGCACAATTCTGGGAAGGATTCTCTAAATCTAGGGTAGAGAACTATTTCTCAAACAATATGTGGAGGATTGGTTTTTCTTTTTTAGAATTTAACTTCTCAGTGCAAGGGGGGTTGTTACTATGAATTAGTAGAAAAAGAAAGAGCTCTGATGAAATGTAAGCTCAAATTCTTTAATGTTAGGATCATTGCACAAGGTGCATTCCAACAAAATTAAGGCCAACTGAAGAGAAAAAAGAATCACAATTAAACTTTATGTGTGTTCTTAAAAGGACATGAAAAGACAGTGACATAGAAACTTGTAGCTGCATTAGTAACTTTGCTGATCTAGGATTACACTTAAAGCAATGATTTTTAGTGCAGTAGCAGCAATCCCTCTCCTATGGCTTTGCACGCATACTTCCCACATCGGAATGTGAACTCATAAGCTGAGCTCCCATCTTGCTTCTGAGTATAACGAACATAGCACTAATGCTGACAATTCTCACAGGGTGTGATGTCCAGGAAGCAGGGTTGTAGGCTTTTGCTTTGTTTTTCGCTGGCACACCACTCATGCAGTGAGGATACCAGAAGCCAAGGAAACCGTTGAGCAAGTTCTGGATATTCATTTTAAACTTTGATCCAAAATGAAGCTGTTATGCTCAAAGCTAATCTGCGACTTACTCTTAGCAACTTCAGATCGTTTACTTCTTTTGGAAAAATAATTTCTTGATTTTGTACGCACTCCTATGCCCCCTACACACCTTATGCTATTTGTGGTTGTTGGTTAAGCATGTTATGTTATTAAATGCTCCTGCTGCACCTTTTTGGTGGGAGGTTCATGCCATTTGTGCTCTCCTCCAGGTGTTTCATACTGTCCTGACTGATCTATGACCTGTTTAGTGTCACAGTACATATGTCACAAGCTAGGACATCAGAGCGGTCTCAAAATGCTAAAAAGGCATCTGCATACTTTCCCCCATTTCCCCAAGCAATAGCAAGCCACCTGCCAGCAGACTTGGGTCTGTGGGTTACCCTGAGTTGACCTGATGTGGGTGATTGCCTTGCCTCACCCCTCTTGCTCAACACTGGACATTTCTCTCTCTTCTGGGTCTATCCAAACCCTTCATAGTTATTTCAGGCCTCTGAGAATTTGAGGCTTCTGATGGTTTCTTTCTGCAATTAACTGTTCCATTGTATACTGTTTTGCATTGTATTCTAATTGTTTATGGGAGTATTGTCTCACTAGTGGGAATCAAGAGGAGCTCTTTCACCATAGGGAGTTGGAATGTGCTGAGTGTGCAGTAAATATTTATGGACTACTATTCTGTGTGGATCACTAGGCATGTTAATTACCACCACCATTATGGTAGATTTATGTTTCAAGACAACAAAACTCATGCACAAACTATAGAATATTAGAAAATATCATCATTAAGACTGGAGAGATGGATCAGGGGTTGGAAGCACTTGATGCTCTTGCACAGGATGTGGGTTCAATTCCCAGCACCTCCAAAGTGACTCACAACCACTTGGCCATCAGGCATGGGTGTGGTGCACATATGTACATGCAGTCAAAACACTCATACACAAAGTAAAATAAAAATTTAAAAATAAAAACCCACTCCAAAATGTACCAAATGTAGCATCATTTCTATGAAGTTAGTCATGCCTATGGCATACGTAAAGCACAGTTGTAGAACAGCTTGTCCTATAGGGTTTGTTTTCTTGGTGTGAAATCTTTTGTGAGTGTTATATGGAAAGTCAAACCAGTTGAAAGGCCTGGTTATAAAGTGTCATCCTCTGTATCTTGCTAACTATTGTAAAATACTGAAGGGAGGTTGCAAAGGATTACTCTTCAAGCTTACTGTACACCTCACACAGTACTAACAGCCTGGAGAGTTCAACATGAAAGGAAAAAGGTCCAGATATTTACTTTTTTAGATTTTAAACACTGTTTCTAATTATGTTGCATGTCTGTGTATATGTGCAGGTACCCAGAGGCCAGAAGAGTCAGATCACGCTGGGGCTAGAGCTGCAGGTGGTTGTGAGCTGTGTTCTTCGCTGCTGAGTCTTCTGTCCGTCCTGCCGACTGTCTCTAAAACAAACGGAAAGCCTCAGCTTTTATCTTTACATGGCCTTCGTCCCATGTGTTGCAGTTACTCCTTGCCAGTTTTCCATGTGCCACAGCCCCCATCTCTCACACAGGGCTGGCAAACAGCTTCATGAGTTGTCTTCACCTGCCTGGTCCCTCTGGGTGCTAAGGCTTGTGACTTCCGGTACAGAGTCATGCATTAAACTATTTGGTGAATGATTAGCATTTGGGAGGCACACTATTGAAAAGAAATCCCTTGTGCTGCCTCACAAGGAATGTCATAACCCCTGTCACCATGGTCCCGAAGCTTGAGCTGAGGGATGTTTTCCTTACCCTTCCCGGGTCCCCTCCCCCATTTCTCTTCTGCATCTCTCTTTGTTCTATCCACCTTGAGTGTCTGCCTGCCTCTTATAGCCCTATCCTTGGGTCATCGTTTTCTCATGTGACGCTAACATTGCAGTAATCTGGTGTCTTCCTTGTTCTGAAATACTCTTTCATTCCTGTCCGTCTCTTCAGTCACACCTGTCATGGTTTGTACTGACATGCATTTATGCACTTACCTGAAGGTGAGGATGTAATTATATCACCAGACCCAAGTTAAATGATTAACGAGTGCTTATTGGGGAACAGTTACACAGAATAATACAAAGAACTGCTGAAGTGTTTCCCTTCCCTCAAGTTTTTCTCTGTTGGGGAAATCCTGTGTATATGTCATTAAAGCACTGTTGGCCAATAGGGAAGTAAGATAAGTGGGTGTGGTTAGTGGTACGGTAAACCGCCCTTTTATTACCTCATCTGTATGCGCCTCTAATAAGTCACATGGTTAATGGCGGAATACTGTTTCCTCCTACATTTCTCTTTCTCCTTCCACTGTCTGAGGCCACGCCCAAGGAGGTGTGGTCACCATTACAAGTTCTCTGACAAGCCACCTACACTTACTTGCTTTACTCAGGACATAAGCCAGATTATGGCCCAGTGCTGCCTTATTCCCTGAATTTTCAACTCTTTCCTTTGAGTCTGGTGTCCAGGAGGTCCTGATGTCTGTTGGGTGAATGGAATGACTTGATACAGGGCCTTGAGAATAGAGTGTGGAATTAATTTACACCTCTGCACAGCATTGCAGCATTCTTAATTCAAAGTTGATATCTATTTTAATGGTTCTAGAAAAATGAATGAAAATACTGGTTGATGTTTTCTTGTTTGTTTAATTATTCTGTAGTTCCTGTGGCTTTATGTTTAGTAATTTGGCATTTAGTGTTTCCAAGAATAATTTACTGTGTGGGTCCCATCATCACTGATCAAATAGGAAGTCTAATTTCTAGAGGTTTCCAAAGAGAATGAGGGGGGAACCCTTGAAGTCTTCTCTACTAAATGCTTGTGGGTCTAATGTTGAGAGGAATAATGCCGGTGCTAAATTAGTTTCTTACTATTAATTAAAGCCGGTGCTGCACAATAATTAAAAATGTTTGTTCAGATAGTTATGTCTTTAAAATGTGTTTATAATAATAGTCATTTGTGGAAAATATTTATGAAAATGAAAGTAGTTAGTTTTGAGGAATGAAAGTCTTTTTTATGAAGTGTAACAATAACATGTATTTTTAAAAAAAACGTAGTCTCATTGCAACCATTTTTATTTTCATGCCTTTGAACCGGAGGCTTATTTAAGCATCCCATGGTTTATTTTTGTCTTGAGTTTGGTAGAAAATGCTTTACAGGATAGAAATTGTGGTGATTGTAAATGTTCCAGGTGAAATACTCATAGAAGGAAACCCCATCGGAAATATTGGAGCTCTCTTTGGGAATGAGGAAGAAGAAGGCCTGCAGGACAGAGGGTGGCAGGCCAGGAGGCTGGGGGCATTCTGGCATGGTTTGCACATCCTAACCCATCTCAGTGGGAGGCTGGAATGAAGGAATAAAATCTGCCAAAGGACCAAAATACTGTTCTTTCTTATTATACCCCCTCCTACTCATCCTACACAGAACTCTGTGTGAACATTGGAGCTTTTTATAGTCCAAGAACTTTGAAAGTCAGCCCTCCCAGCCCATGAGTTCCAGGCAGAACCCAGTAGCTTTCTTTTGCCAGCTCTAAAATCATGAACTTGAAGAAAATATTCAGTGGTTCCTCTTTTAGCTGTGCCATGGGGTGGAAATGTTCGGCTTGTCTTCAGAGTACCTAAACATGGATGGACACACACAAGCAGGCCTGTTAATGGTTCTTTTCTCTACCGTACGGCTGTAATGAAGGGGTAGAAAGCAGCTTAGTAAAAATAGGTCAAGAGAGTTAACTGAAGAATGTAAAGTCATGCATGTATGCCTCCTTCCCTGTTTCAGAGAACAGCATTCTTTCAAAGCCCTTCTCAGGGATAAAAATACCTGTGTAAATTGACCCAGTTATTTCCTTCAATACATAAATTGTAGAAATAGCAAAAGCAAACACTGTTTAAGACATACCTTTCACAGTTTCCTATGGCAGTTTTATAGAACAAATCAGGTTTCCATTGTTTATCAGGATCAAAAATACATGGCCGTGTCACAGGAGCAGACTGTGACAAATTCTTCAGTGGACTGATGATGGTCTGGAGGGAGAAACAGTGAGTTGACTTTCCTTAATGGGGCAAAGGTCCTCCTGTGGGAGGAATGTTCTTCATAGCTTCTTGACCTCTCTCCTAATTGTAACCTTTTGGTTAGGTGTAATGCTTACGTGTGATTTGGAGTGGGTTATTTAAATAAAACCTGCATGGATTCCTATGGGATCTTGTGTTGACGCACTGGTAGCTCTGGATTGCAGTCTGACTTGGAGTTAGCTGCTTTGTTTCCTGTGTCAGGCTTTCTCAACCTTGTTACTATTGATATGTCTTATGGTTTCTATTGCTGTGATAAAACGCGTGGACCAAATGAATCTTGGGGAGGAAAGGGTTTTTTCCATTTATGTCTGGAGTACACATTCTAGAAGCTGTTCCAATATTCCTTTTTATTTCTGGAATAAAGTCTATTTTGTCATGCTAAATTGTTCTTTGACATATTTTCTAATATTGGATTGAAAAGTTTTTTGCACCTGGACTCATCATTGAGCTTGGCCCGTAAAATGTTTCTCAAATAATTCACCCATGTGCCAACAGCAGATGCTGGCAGAATGTGAGTTACTCCTAGGTGGTATTCAGATAAACATTTTCAAAATTTTATTAGTTAGGCAGTTAGCTTAATTTGGCAAGTGACATGGATTTTCCAGTTATGATAGTGATATCAATTTCTCTTTTAGTGCTCGAGAAGTGTTCTGCTGTAAAGGCACTAGCTGCAAATTTATCTTTTAGTGTGGTCAGTTTAAGTAAACATCAGATAATGTTTATGCACAGACACATAGACATACAGACACATATGGAGACATAGACACATATATACACAGAGACACAGACACACAGACACACAGTCACACATACAGATATGCACACATAGACACACGGGCAGATACACAGACACACACACAAGACATACACAAGAGATGCAGACATACACACTTAGACACACACAGACAGATACACAGACACAACAGACACAGACACATTGACACACACACACACATACAGACACACAACAGAGAAACACAGACACATAGACACACACACAGACAGACATACAGTCACACACACACACACACACACATACATAGATATACATAGATATACACACAGCCACACAGAGATATTAGACAAAGATATAGACACACAGGCACAGACAGACAGACAGACAGACACACACACACACACACGTTTCTGGTGATGCTAGTAGTCATGAAGTAGATACTCAAATGACTGAGCCATGAAGACCATCTGTCTATAAAGCAGGTATGATGTTTGGCAAAGGGGATAAGGCTGGGAAGCAGAGCTCAGTGTATAGCCTTATCTGGTTGGCTTTCCCACAAGACACTTAGATACTATGGTAGTTTGAACTAATTGGCCCCCAAAGAGAGTGACTCTATTACAGGATATGACCTTGTTGGAATAGATGCGACTTTGTTGGAGGAAGTGTGTCACTGGGGATGGGCTTTGAGGTCTCAGATGCTGGAGTCATACTCAGTGTGGCTGTCACTTCCTGTAGAACTCTTAGCTCCTTCTTCAGCACCATATCTGGAAGTGCAGTCAAGCTTCCCACCATATCGATAATGGACTAAACCTCTGAACTGTAAGCCAACCCCAATTAAATGTTTTCCTTTATAAGCGTTGTTGTGATCATGGTGTCTCTTCATGACAATAAAACCCTGACTAAGACAGATGCTGTGTGTCTCATAAATGCTCAGTCTTTCCACAGGTATTGTCAGGCCTTCAAAATTTTCATACAGGGGTTATATATTCTTCCAAGGACTGGTGGAATTCACCTGTTAAACCATTTGGATTTTTTTGAGAATTTCTGTTTTTTAAAGATAATTTTCTAAACTCTTCCAAATTTGTTGGTTTATGAAATGTTTTAAACTTTTGAGGGTTTTCTTTCATTGGAATGTCTTCTTAGAGGTGCATTTTGTCCTACTGTTCCTTTGTGCCCCTCTTCACTGAACTAAACTCAGCACGTCAGTCCCTTCCTTCTGACTTACAGTATCTCTATTTTCTATGACTGTTACATTGGAAATGTGTCCCTGTTTCTTTGTCTTTTATCTCTACCATCTCCGTTTTCCTTAACTATTCTCAGTATCACAATGCATCTCTATAGATACATATCCGTGTGCAGTAATCTCCTGGTAGAGCTCTCTACAATTATTGTAATACTGAATTAGCAATTACGTCACCTTTTCTCATTTTAAATGTAGCTTATTGTGTTTTTCTTCTTACTATAAACTAGACCAACCTGTGTTTGTTTACTTTGTCCTTTCAAAATAGTATTGTTGTCTAGTTTCTTTGTTTTTTCTTTCATTGACTGCTGTTTTGCAAATACTTCCTAAAAGCTGTCTTCCATGGTAGGTGAATAGCTCCGCAGGTAAGTACACTTGCTCTGCAAGCCTGACAACCTGAGTTCAGCCCCTGGAGAAGGAGAGGCTTGACTGAGAAATTGTCTTCTTCTGGCTTCCACATGTGCAGTGTGGCACACATGTGCCAAAGCTCACACATCATACACACAGTGCATAATGACTTTTAAAGTTATGTTAAACTGGGTTATTGTTATCATTGCTGTTGTTGTATGTGTGTATGATGTGTGTGTATGTGCGCGCGCATGTGTGTGTGTGTGTGTGTGTGTGTGTGTGTGTGTGTGTGTGTGTGCAGGGTACATGTGACACGGTGCATGTGGAGGTCAGAGGACAATTTTCAGAAGTCTGTTTTCTCTTTCTAAGGAGGGATGAGGATCCAAACTCAGGATATCATGTGTTTGGCAAGTGCTTTCACTTGCTGAGCCTTCTAGTTGACCCTTAAGAGTTCACTTGTAAACTATAAAGCATGGCTATTGTTTTAATATTTATTAATGTTATTGTGGGTTACTCATTGCAATCCCGCTTAAAACTCTATGGAGTCATGGCTGAACATGCCTTCTGTTAATGCCTAAGACCTAATCAGTAGACAGACAGCTCAGAAGTGGAACCAGAGTAACCATAGTTTTGCAGACTCGCTTATAACTATGGTGTGTTTTGGACTTCCTGGCTTTGTGCTTTTCAATAACCTGCATACTGCCTGGGAGCTCAGGTTCTTTCTTTTTGGATAAAAATTGTGGATAGTGGAACTGGAGAGATGGCTCAGTGGTTAGGAGCACATATTCCTCTAGCAGAAGACCTGGGTTTGATTCCCAGCAGAAGACCTGGGTTTGGTTCCCAGCACCTACAGCAGGTGATTCCCAGCTGCCTTGTGATGTGTGTATGCGGGGGACGTGTGACACGGTGCACATGGAGGTCAGAGGGCACCTTTGAAAAGTTTGTTTTCTCTTTCCAGGCATGTCAGGGGATCTGACTTCCTATTCTGGCCACTGTAGGTACATGACACCCCCCACCCACACGCATGCGTGCTCTCATAATTAAAAATAAAATAAAATCTTTATAAAATTGGCTAGTAATAATGATTGGTAACATTGAAGAGTAAATGGGGTGAATGTAAAACTATGGCAAGCATATTTAGAAACAAACATCTGTAAATATAAAATTAAAAAAGTAATAAAATGTTGCTGCTTATGTGTTTTCTGCTTGTGTTGTTGCTTTCCTTTTGAGATTACAGGACTGTCCCTGAGTAAGTCTTTTTTTTTTTTTTTTTTTTGGTTTTACGAGACAGGGTTTCTCTGTATTGTTTTGGAGGCTGTCAGTCCAGCCTGGCCTCGAACTCACAGAGACCCGCCTGCCTCTGCCTCCCGAGTGCTGGGATTAAAGGTGTGCGCCACCACCGCCCGGCCTGAGTAAGTCTTAATGGATGTCATTTTCTTCTTTCCTTCTTCCTTTACCCTTTCTCTACTGGATTCTTCGGGCTGTAAGTGTTGCTACAACAGGGGCCACCTCACCCTTGAACAGAACACTGGCTCTTCCCTTCCCCAGCTTTTGCTGCTGTTGACTGCTGTGGTGCTGGATGGGATAGACATGAGGGTGGCTGGTGACGGTCACCTGATAGCGTTGAACAGTAGATTTTCTTCTCTTGTTTCTGGTTCCTCTTCTCACCCTTCTCCCCTTTACAGGGCTGACACTGAGGCATCTAATCTACCACCAACCTTTCTGAGCTCATTACTACTCTTAGAGTGGAGGTAGAAAGTTCCCTCCTCCTTTGGCCTCATTAATCCTGTCCGTCCTCATAGTCACCAGACTTATAGGATCACAGGGCCAAGGAAATACATTCATCTGGAACTGGGTCCTGCCTTCTAGAATACCATCTAGCTACTTTGCGTACAGGATTTTCCTGATGAGAAACTCGAAGCCTCCTTCTATAGCTTACTTGGTGTCTTCATAGGGTTGTGTCTGAGGGTAGCCTGGGAAGCAGTGTGCACTTTCTTAGACCCAGGGGATTTCTAATCAGCAGCTATTTGCAGGGAGCACAGATGAGCTTGGTGAGCTCCAAAGTGATGTGCCGGGGAGTTCCCTGTGCTGTTGGGTAGAGAGAGCTCAGAGAAGAGAGAGAGGAGAACCTGATGTCTTTAGCACCTCTACATTCTGGCTAGAGTAATTGGTTCTAACCTTGTCTTCAGGTTCAAGATATAAGAATAGGAATATTTATTGGCTTAACTTACAGCCTTGAAATATTTAGACATGGATATAGGCCTTCACTTTTACTCTTGCTCTGAACTTGGCAAATGGTAGAGGTAGGCCTACTAAGCACATTATCCAACCTCATGCTGCCCTACCTGATACTCTTGGGAGGATAGAGCTCAGGTGAAGAGCACTCTTCTCTCACCCATTCAGATGCTCCATCTGCCAGGAACCATTCATTGTTCCTTAGCACAATGCCTGACATATAATTATTGATTGGAGGGATGGTTGTGAGATCCTGGCTTAGTGGGTGGGAAGACTTGCCCAGGGAAGTACCCTTGCCAAAGCTACTGGCTGCAGTGATGTGTCATGGGCTGAGTGAGACAGCTGTTCCAGGGTGCCCCCCAGTGACTGGTTTCTGTGGCTCATCTGAACATTGAATTTGGGGGATGGCATTAGACGTTCTCAGCTAATGGTATGTGGGTTTATGTGGGTTGTTGGTTTTTTTTCCATTTATCAGTAGCATATTTTCCCTCTGAGGTATGGGGACTTCATAGTAATTTCCCAATTTTGATTTTCCTCACAAATACCCATTATTGAATGATACGCAGTTTAATGAGATTGGAAGAGACAAACAAAACAAACAGAAATCCACACTACAATTATGTAAAACGAAGTAGGAAACAAATAAATAAGAAATACATTACCATGACTGTTATTGCCCATTGAAACTGCTCCTCTAAAGAAAACGAGATATGTTTTATGACATTTTTTCATATATGCACTGGAAATCTTAAGGGCAGTTAAAAAAATAAAACCATATAAGTCAGAGTCAAGGAAAGCCAAGGCTTTGCTGCTGAAGGACACACGCCAACTTACTTGAGGGACTGTGCATGTAATGGAAATGTTTGCAGCAAGATTTGTGCGAGGTCTTGGTTCATTTGGGGGACTGGTTAGAGACTGAGGCTTAGAAAATTGTTATGACTTCTCTTGTTTCTAACATGAAAGATTGTGCCATAAACTGTATCAAATGCTTGAGAGAAGTGTGGAGTTTATGTTTCCGAAACAGGTGGTCTTTGGTCTAGCATTTAATGAGAAGCCTGAGTTTCTTGGTATTGGCTAGTACCTGTGAGTTAAGATTTTGAGAGTCCTTTACACTTCAATTAATTCATTTACTTATCAATTTATTTTAAGTAAGGGTTGTCCGGGTTGACTTTGAACTTTGCATTCTTCTGCCTTAGGTTCTATGTGACAAGATAACAGGGCCCATGCCTGGCTCCCTTGATATTTAAAAAGAGTTATTTTTTAAAAATAAAAAGCAGAAGAAAACCTGTACTCTCCTATTATGAAACACACATAAATGAAAAAACTCTGTTTTGTCAACTTCTGTAATTGTGTTCTGCTACTGTCTCTCTGACAGGCTGCAGTATTTGAAAAGAGAATTTTATAGCAAAGACAGCGATTTCAAAACACTAGTTGTAATTTGGTATTGTCATTCTGATATGCAAGTTTTTCTAAGGATACATTAAAATATGTTTCTGCATGACTGCCAAGGGAGGTACTTTCTATTACATAAATTTTATGCTGTGATTAATATCTGAGAAGAACTTATCTTGTAAATAAGGGTAAAGGAGGCAGTTTTATTTTATCTTTATTTTCCCCCTTTCCATTATGTTTTGATGAGAAAAATCTTTATTTTGGGGTTTGATTTAACCTAGCCAATTAGGGCAGGAAAACAAGGCTGTTGTCACTGTTGGAGCCATGCCTCCCATCTGGGGCCTGGTGTCTGTCCACCCAAGCCTACTTTGACCATGCCTTCTGCAATCTGGAATCTTAGAAAGTCAGTGTCACTGAGTTGAGGGAAACTTGGGGGATAGGAGAAGCCAGAAGAAGTTAGCAGGAACACGGTCAAGCAATGTAGATTTGGTGGAGGACTGCCTGAAATCCTGTATGGTCTAGGCAAGTCCTTCCTGAGTGCTGTCCTGAGAACATTTCAGTGAGTTCGGAAAAACAGAAAATGGGCCGTTTTTACTAAAGCTTAGTTCATCACCATAAGAAGCTAGGTTGCAAAATGTGCAAAATGAAATTAGTCATGCTGCTTGTGTTGTTATTGTTCAGTTTAACTTAGTTTAATTTTGAGACAGTATCTCAGTATGTAGCTTAGGCTAACTGGAATTTGCTGTGATGCCCAGGCAGGACTACACACTGAGATTCTCCTGTCTCAGCTTCCAAGAGGACTAGGATTGCTGGCATGCACCACTGTGTCTGGTGCTAATTGTACATTCATTGTCAAACATCTTTGACAAAATAAAGCACCTGGAAAATCTGGGGATTCTTCTTTTCAGTGAAACTCTCAGATCTCCCACTTCCTCTCTTAGTGAGCGAAGCTGTTGTCTATTAGTGGGAATTGTTCTGTGCTCACATCCTAGAATAGTGAAAGATTCTTTGTCACGAAAGATGTGTACAGAAGAGACATCGCCTTGAGGTCAGGTGATGGGGACCGAGAGTTGGGCCCTTCCTTTCCTTGAAGGAGATATACTAGAGTTAGGTCTTCGTTAAAAACCCAAGAATGCTCCAGTGTTCTTTAGACCAGGGCTTCTTAAAAGTTTCCACTCATGATCCCTCTTCATCCGAGAAATCTTTATGCAGCTGTGAGCCTGCAGATGTGTGAGATGAGTACAGAAATCACACATTTGCTGTTAATAAATTGGAAAGAGAATTACTGCTTGCGCATGTGTCCAAAGATCCCATAGCATGTATGAGGAGATCAGAAGACAGTCCTGGGTCAGTGCTTGCCTACCGCCATGCGTGTGCTTGGGATTGAAGTTAGGGCACCAGGCCCGGCAGCGAGCTCTTTTACACCCGCTGTGTCATATTGCAGGGCCCCAGATTCGTTGACATACTTACTATTAATCTTAAAAGCCAGTTTGCATATTAATGAGACTTGTGCACTCCATTATCCAACATATATGTCGAAATATACTAACTTGATTCTCGTAGAGGAATGATTAACAGGATAATCTTAAGGTCTTTGTTTCCTGTAATCGAGCCATCATGTTTATCTAAGAGTGGAAAACTGTGTGAGTAGTGAAGAGACTGCGTTGGTACAAACATTGGTTTCAAATCTGAACCATGGTGTTACTGACAACACCTGCTGGTGCCACAAGCGTTAGAGCATGCACAATGCAGAGTACACATTGTGTGTCCAGCATCAAGACTGAGGGGAAACTGTGATGGAACATGCCCAAAACAGTCCACATTCACTGTCTGCTTGATTTGGGATCAATTTTGGATCACTGGACAGTGAGGACATTTTTGTAGCTTCAACATTTTTTGCAGCCCTCACACTCAATTGTGTATACTCCATATTGGGTCAGAACCTGTGATCTGAGGGCCATGGGTTAGAGCATTTTCATGTGTACTAACTCATTTGTTTTTACAGTTGGAATTGGAGAGGTAAAGGAAGTACTATTCATCTTGAAATTTTTATTATGAGCGAAAGGTTTACATCATCCATTTTTTTTCTGGAAAGGGATATTTTGAGGATACTTGTTGATAAAAATAAATGTACTGTGACTTGCCTGGGATATATAGAATTTATGCCCCTACCCCGCCCCCACCAGGTACCACCACCACCAGCACCATCAGCAGCAGCAGCAAAAAGAAAGAGGAGAAATGTAATACACAGGGGCTACACAGAAGCAAGTCAGCCCTTTCTGAAAGGTCATGGAAGATGACCCTTAATTCAGAGTAAATAAGAACAATAAAATTAAACAAAGCACTCAAGGAAAAGAACTTTCTTGAAGAACTTGAAATCCTTAGGGAGGGGTGAGATTTTGGTCAGCATTAATACTTAGGTATTTGGTGTATATGTTTTTAGCTAATTTTATCCCTTTAAAAATATGTGGGTTTTAATGTACTGTTGAGCCCAACAGTGAGAAAGAAGCCCAGCTATGCTTTTTTAATTCAATGTGAGAATTCACCGAATGAAGACCCTAAGTTAGCTTCTGTGAGATTAGCAGTAGAGACAGAGTGTGTATAAAGCTGCTTGTAGATTGTAAAAATAAAACCAGTCTTACCCTCTGAATTAAGTCTGGTCTAAGTAGCTGATTTCCTTTTGTATTCTGAAGCCTTTAAGGGGTCTTCTTGCTTTGTAACCGGTAGATGAGAAGGTCGTTATTTATGTTTATGATGTAAATATTTACTTTTATCAAGATATTTTTAAATATTTTTAAAAACATTAAGAATGATACTGGGTGTTATGGCCTACTTGCTTATTCCTGGTACTCTGGAGGCAGAGGCAGGTAGATTTCAGTGAGTTTTAGCTCACCCTAGTCTAACTTAGTGAGCTTCAGATGAGCCAAGGCTGCAGAGTGAGAGCTGTCTCAAAAAGAAAGAGAGGAAGGAAGGGAGGGAGGGAGGAAGGAAGGAAGGCAGGCAGACAGATAAAAAAGAAAGTTAAAAGTGCTTAATACTGTCAAAGGTCCGGTAAAACAAACACCTTTATATACTACATAACAAATGGAAATGAGTAAACAGATTAAGATGGAGTCATGTGATATTTATATGGTTTTTCTTTAAAAAAAACATATGCTGAAAATGTTTAATTAACTGCGAAAATACTTATAGTAAAATGATAATGAAAACAAAAACCAAATCTAAGATTCAGGCAGCTTTAAGTTACTAAGAGTGCTGGTAGCTCTTGTCGGTCCTGGCGGGTAGGAACGTTGCTATCACTTTACGCTGACTGCAATTCTTTAGTCATGTCAGCCATCATTCACTTCCCATCCATGGTGCCCAGTGCTGAGCGGGATACAAAGATGAATAGCCCAAGAGCTTCAGTATTGAATACAAACTTGGTGTTTAATTGTAAGCGTATACTGGTAAACTGTAGCATTCTAGTTAAATATCACAGTCCGGGTTCCTTTCCTGGGTGAAAAGCTGTGTTTGCTTTAAGAAACGTGACAGAACAAACCTAAGTTCAGTAGAAAGAAGCCAGGAGATTAAAGTTACCTCAGGAAATATTAAGAGGACTTCTTTGGGCATTTCAGCATGCTTATATGGGTGTGGGAAAAGCAACAGATCCTAGAATTGGGATTTGGGAGTAAAATTTGATGTTTGTTTATGTACCCACATTTCTCCCTCTTTGGGAATCCTTAAACACTAAGTCTTGTTTGTATTCATTAGTCTGTGCTGTCAACTGGGGATGCGCCCACCTTCCTCACTTAACTGAGAATTCCTAAGACACGTACCAACAATAACTCATCTTTTATTCTTCTTGAACGCAGCTTCTCATAGTGTCTGGCAAACTATGGATGCTCAGTAGATGTTTGGAGAAGTGACTTACTGATCTGTGTGCTGCTCACTGCTAGTGTAGAGCACAGACGTGTGGAGAAAAAAAGCAGTTTACCATTTAACAAGGGGTATATATAAAGACATAGTGCCGGGCACGTGAAACTTGCTTTTGAGTTGTTGTCAGGGATGTCCAAGAGACCCCCGCCCCCAATAGTATAAGCTACTATCATTACCCAAACAGGCAGCCTACATATGCTATCACTCTTCTGGGTGAGCTTCTCCTGTGGGCCACTGAGGTCATATAGTATCTCATGCCTACTTTCTCACAGGCCTCAACAACTTGAAACTAATTATACAGCAACTTTAAGCTCCTTGGAAGAAAAGTGTCATGCGCATCTGAATTGGAAATTTGGTTATTTTTGACTTTAGTGGAAATTCAGTGGCAAATAATGAAGAAAACAGGGCCTAAGATTTGGATGAAAACAGACTAAAAAGATTATGAGCTATATGTGTGACAGTTATAAAAACTGCTTGAGATTAGTCACCCTGGTAGAAGAGAAACATGTGAGAATTACTATGTATGTAAGTGTGCACATATAAACATAGCTATCCTATGTAAACTAGATAGCTGTTACTTAGAACCCAGGGTGGATTGGTTACAGAGTTAGATTAGATACCAAAAGCTGCAGATATTTAGAAACCTTATATAAATTGTGTTTGCATGTGTTCTCTACATATACCCTATGTACTTCAAATCATCTCTAGATTATTTATACCATCTGGTACAATATAAATACCATGTAAATAGTTAGGCTACATTGTTTAGGAAACAATGACAAAAACTTTCAGTAGATATGTAATTTTTAGAAGATGTTTTCAACTTGTAGTTAACTGAATCTGAGGATTTAGAGCCTGTGGACACGAAGTTCCAAACTGTTTATATAGAATGTGTGGGGGAGAGATGGCTGAGCAGTTAGGAGCACTTGCCGCTCTTCTAGAGGATCTGAGTTCAGGTTCCAGTACTCACATTGGGTGGCTCATAACTCTGTAACTCCAGCTCCATGGCCCAATGACCTCTTATGGGTTCCCAGGGCATGAGCAAGCATGTGACATATACTCAAACAGATGCGAAACCTAAAAATTAAATTGTAATAAATTTTTTGAAAAAGAAAAGAAATGTTCTCCATAAATCTTACCTTAATATCAGTGTGTTGTGGCTGTGATTGGGAAAACAATCAGGTGGGCGCAGTGGTCCATTCCTGTAATAGCAGCTATCCAGGAGGCTGAAACAGAGGATTCCAAGTTCAAGATTAGCTCAGGCTACACAGTGAGAGTCCCTCCTCTAAAAAGCAAAGCCAGAAACATCTGTTAACATACGATTTGTGTGTTCACATACTGACATTCAACAAGTAAGGTTAAAATATCATTCAGTCATGAACTAAAAATTTTTCACCAACTTAAAAGGCAAAACATGTTTATAATTAGTATATTCAGCCTTGATGTGTAGTTATTGAAAGTTTGCATGCTTCCAAGCATTGGGTGCAAATCAGATCATTCTATAATTAGAATTCCTCATGTTGTAAATAAAAAGTCTGATATTTGAGAAGATCAATGGGCAGGCATCGTCCTTCCATGCTCTACTTCAATAGCATCTCCCATGTGAATAAAACTCAAAATTTGTTTTTAAAAATCCCTGCAATGTGTTTTTCACTTTATGCCTTTGGCTCTGTGAAGTATATGCTGTGGTCACATTGATAGTTGCTATCTCCGTTTTTCTGCTGAATTCCACGCTAGCTGCCATGTGCCCGGTGCTGACTTGTGTATTGTATCACAGAATCCTACAGGCAACTGAAAGATAGCTGCTGTTACTCTCACGTGAGTTCATGATGCTTGACTCATGAATGTTAGTGTTCAAATGTAAGACCAGGTTGTCTCACTAGAAATGTGTGCCTTGGCTCTCCTGTGTTGCGTGGGAGGCACATTGGACTCTGTTTCTGGATGTGTAAATCCTACCTATGTGCAGGTGGAGTGTGTATAGAAGACTTTCCATCCATCTTTTCTAAAGGTCCTCCCTCCATTTTCTCTTTCTCGCTCCTTGCCCATCACTTGATTACACTTTTTAAGTATTTGTCACCTCCCACAGCACATTCTCTTCTTTTCCACTCGCTTACAAACTGAGTAGAAAGAATGGTGGTGTCTGTTTGACCAGACATGGTGGCCTTTAATCCCAACACTGGGGAGGCAGAGGCAGGCTGATCTGTGTGAGTTTAAGGTCAGCCAGGTCTTTGTAGTGAATTTCAGGACAGCCACCATTAATGCAGATAAACCCTGTATGGAAAAAAAGCTGGGACCTCCTGAAACCGAGAAGCTTCTGTAAGGCAAAGTACACAGTCAACAAGCCGAAAAAGCAGCCCACAGAATGGGAAAAGATCTTCACCAACCCCACATCTGACAGAGGACTGATCTCCAAAATTTGCAAAGAACTAAAGAAGCAAGTCTCCAAAACACCAAAGGATCCAATTAAAAAGTGGGGTACAGGAATAAATAGAGAATTCTTAATAGAGGAGTCTAAAATGACTGACAGACACTTAAGAAAGTGCTCAACATCCTTAGCCATCAGGAAAATGCAAATCAAAGCAACTCTGAGATACCATCTTATTCCTGTAAGAATGGCTAAAATCAAAAACTCCAATGACAATTTATGCTGGAGAGGATGTGGAGAAAGGGGAACACTCCTACACTGCTGGTGGGAGTGCCAACTCATACAGCCACTTTGGAAATCAGTATGGAGATTCCTCAGGAAAATGGGAATCAGTCTACCACAAGATCCAGCAATTTCACTCTTAGGCATATACCCAAAAGGTGCACATTCATACAACAAGAACATCTGTTCCACTATGTTCATAGCAGCATTATTTGTAATAGCCAGAACCTGGAAGCAACCTAGATGCCCATCAATTGAAGAGTGGATAGAGAAAAGGTGGCACATTTACACAATGGAGTACTACTCAGTGGAAAAAAGCAATGGAATCTTGAAATTTGCAGGCAAATGGATGACACTAGAAGAAACCATCCTGAGTGAAGTAACCCAGTCATAAAAAGAGAAACTTGGTATATACTCACTCATATATGGATTTTAGACATGGATCACGTGAGTGCCAGCCTACAATACCCTTGCCAGAGAGTCTGGGAAACAGGGAAGACCTTAAGAGAGATATGCATGGTATCCCAGAGAAGGGGAATGGGACAGGATCTCCTGGATTAGGAGCATGGGGGGAGAAGAGAGGGAGCTGGGAAAAAGAGATGGAGAAGAGGAGGGGAGAGAAGGATATGGAGGAGCAGGGAAATTGAGTCAGGGGAAGAATAGAGGAGAGCACAATAGAGGGAGGCATTGTAGGTTTGAGGAGAGATCTGCCACTAGGTGAGAATCCCAAGATCTACAAGATGACACCAACTGGCAAACTAAGTAATATTGGAGAGGTTACCTTAAATGTCATCCTAGAACCTTCATCCAGTGGCTGATAGAAGCAGAGGCAGAGAGCCACAACTAAACACTGAACTGAAAGTTGCAGAGAGGGAGGAGTGATGAGCAAAAGGGTCAAGACCAGGCTTGTGAAACCCACAGAAACTGCTGACCTGAACAAGGGGAAGCTCATGGACCCCAGACTGATGGCTTAGAGGCCACCATGGGACTGATTCATACTACCTAAATCTGGGTGTCAGTGAGGAGGCCTTGCCACTGTATAGGCCCTTGGGTAGTAGATCAGTATTTATCCCTGGCATACAAATGGACTTTGGGAGTCCATTCCACATAAAGGGGTGCTCTCTTAGCTTGGACACATAGGGGAGGGCCTAGGCTCTGCCCCAGATGAAATGACAGATTTTGGAGATCCCCCATGGAAGACCTCACCCTCCTTGGGGAGCGGAGTGGGGATTGGGTGGGGGGCTGGGGGAGCTGGTGTGGGGCAGGCAGAGGAGGGGAGGGAGAGGGATCTGGGATTGACATGTGAAGCAAGCTTTTTTCTAATTTAAATAAAAAGGGGGGGAGCCCAAAAGAAAAAATGGTGAATGTTGTGTTTATTTATTTATTTATTTATTTATTTATTTATTTTGTTTATTTTTGTAGCCCTGGCTGTGTGGAACTCTGTGTAGCCCTCGCTGTCCTGGAACTTACTCTGTAGACCAGGCTGGTCTCATAGTAAGAGACATCCACCTGCGCCTGCCACCCAAGTGCTGGGATTAAAGGCCTTCACCACCACCACCCAGTCATTGATACTAGACACATTGTAGATGATCAGTAAAATTATTTTAAAAATCATCAGAAACGGTGATTTTATTGATCAACTACTGTGTGTCTAGTGTCATGCTCTGGCTTCCATATAATTATCTCATTTAACAGTTCCAGCATTGCTGGTGGAAGAGCTAACTCATCTGCATGCTGTGGGAGGAGCTACGTGATTGCTGGGGAGACCCTAGTGCAGATCCAGAGCAATGTGCTATGGGATATTTGTACACTGGGTGAAGATATATTGCTGTGATTGGCTTAATAAGGGCTGCATGGCCAATAACTAGGCAGGAGGTATAGGTGGGATTTCTGGGCAGAGAGAAAAGTAGAAGGAAATAATTAAGGAGACACCAAAGAGACACAGAGCTAGCCAGACATAAAGAATGAAAAAAGGTAAAAAGCCACGTGGTGAAAATATAGATTAATAGACATGGGTTAACTTAAGTTATAAGACCTACTTATAGGCCAAGCTTTCATAATTAATAATAATTCTGTGTCGTTATTTGTGAGCTAGCAGCTGATGAAAAAGCTTGCTGCAGCAATGGTTTGTAATCTGAGGGTCCTGACACCAAGTCTGGGTCTCTTTCACCATATGAAGAACCTCATTAAAAATCTAGTGGAGTGAGTGCCTTGAATACAGGCATGAGCAATAATCTGTCAGATCAATAAACTTGAACCCCCATGCAGCCACCTAGAGAGTTCTGCATGGGATCCCCTAAAACAGATCTGTATGTGGAAGTCCCTGACGTGGCATGTGCCTAAGGGGTCATTGGTTCTTGTCTCCGTGGAGAAATGGGTCCAGTCCATAGCCTGGCAGTTTGAACAAAAGTTTAATTAGCAAAGCAGTAGTTTAATTAGTGAAGTTGAGCAAGCAAACAGGCCAAGGAGAGGCTGGCCTGGGCTACCCTAAGGTGTGGCACAGTCTAGGGGTCTATGCTGTGGAGTTTTAAGAAGTTATATGAACACTTATAAGTATTTATCAGGTGAGTTTTAGAACATCCAGGACCTTTAGATCTTAAGTAGAGAAAGCTATAAGGAAGCCCCTCCCCTATCTCTACCACACCCAGTAGGAGCAAATACAGCTCCCTACTGTGTGGCACTGAGGCAACTTGAGTCACAGTCATATGTTAACTACCTCTACCCTCTCCTTACCTGGTCAACTTGTCCATCTCAGCTGCAAACTCTTTTACTTTTTAGTTAATATAGCTTTACATTTTTATTTTACTAGATAATAGATTTTTTTCATACAATATATTCTGATTCTGATTTTCCCTTCCCCCACTTCCTCCAACATCCTCCCCGTGCAAGCTCTTCTATCTGCTTTCCTCATTGCTTCTAACCTTGCTTTTTATAAAGTTTAACTTAATCTCTATGTCTATGGGTAATTTGCCTGCATGTTTGGTATGTCTGTGTGCCACAGCATGCTTGCTGCCTGCCCCCAGAGATCAGAAGACGGTGTCAGATACCCCGGAACTGTAGCCATCTGGTGGGTGCTAGGAATCTTCCACTTCTCTGGAAAAGCAGTGACTGCTTTTAGCCTCTGAGCGTTCAGCTGCAACCTAAATTTTTTCTGACACCTTAACATTTATTTTAATATACACATTGTGTTTACTGTAACACTGGAAAGTTGCAATAGTATTCAAGTTTGGAATTTCATATATGCAGTTGTATATTTGTCTCAGACTTCCGAATGCATTGTGACTTTAGCTTCCTCGATGGCAGACCCACCTGTGGGGCACCAAGGAGGCCTTGAGTGAATATTCAAAGAGCAGATGAAGTCCGGGGTGACTGTATTGTTGGAAAATATCTGGTCTGAATGCAAATGTTGACAGTGTATGCAATGGCAGCTGTTTACAAATGATTGTGTGTGCAAAAACTAGCAACTGGCAGCTTTCTCCTCCAGGATGTTTGCAGGCTGAGACTGCTCACCTGGAGACTTCCTATGGAGACTAGCTGTCCCCCCATTCCTGTTCCCCCACTGTCCTGTGATGTTGTAGT